GCCACAGTACTATCATTTATTGTATTTTTTGAGGGGGTGGTCGTAAGATCTAGCATTTTGTGAAATTAATAGGTCAAATTTCATGTCAGAACTAGAGCTCTGCTCTTTTAACATTCATTTCATGCCAATGTAGTCCACCTAACAAAGCCTTTGCAACTTTAAATGGTTGCAGTTTTGACAAGTCGACTACACAGGGAAGAATTGGACCTTAACTTCATTTACAAGTTTGATTCCTATCAGAGAGGAATGAAAAAAGACATTGGCTGGGTCCCACACTACCTTCGGCATCCTAATGACTTAATCAACCAACCAAACAATGGGTACTTATAGAAGTGCAATTGTTCTTATCAGCCTCTTGTAACTTGAACAATCTAATTCTCAATTTTTTTCTCTTTTTTTCCTCTTCTCACTCCTGTTCCCCTCTCCCACCTTCCCTTATTTATTCTTGGATCAGGACTTTTAATACACCAGTCATCTGAATAAGTACCTATGAAAGCTCATGATACCATCTACATATTCTGATATATTGGTCAACTTATGAAAGGGTCAGAGGGTTTTGCCATTTTTACCTACCCATCTTGGGGGATCAGTTTATAAACCAACTAGTTAATGAACAAGTATATACAGTATATGTTTGAAATACACACAAAAAATAAGAGGTGACATCTCAGCCATTAGGCCTTCTTCCGGCTGCAGAAAAAAAATAGAAAAAGGTTAATTTCAAGGTTAGAACTAACCTTGTTCTATTTTTTCCCCTCAAGCCCAAAGCAGAGCTCGTGGGCCAACATGTCAACTCTAATCTTCTTTACTATCTACACTGTGAGTTTTGTATTAACCTTTTCTCTTAAGTTTTGCAGCAAGAATGCTAATGCAGAGTGGATTTGGATTTTGTTACTGTATTATAAAATTTTGGCTTGATTTTTTTAATCACTCGTCAACCAGACACCGAAATTTACAAATTATCACCCACTTACCCTCAAGTGGTAAAGAAAAAAAAAACAGAGGGAAGGAAATCAGTGCAGAGTTGCATTGATGAATCACTTCTGGACATTAATGAAAAGGAGAAATTAGCAAGGTTTTGGAGACAGTGAGCATGCCTGTAAATTTACAGGCATAAATAACCTAGGGTACAATAATTGCGGGCCATGTATCTGAAATGAAAGTGCTGTTGAAGTCTAAATTCACAAGTCCTTACTCAGAAAACTCCCTGCGAGTTTAAAATTGACTTTCTGTGGGATTTTCCTGAATAGAGATTGATTAAATAGCAAGTTGGGCTTTCAGGATTTAGCCTGGGAATTTACCATACAATTGCAAACTTATTATAGTGCATGCTGCAGAGATTACAATCATCTCTTTTTGACAAGTAAAATGGATTGAACTTCAACCCTCAAACCTTATATTCAGATCCATTTATTTTTAGACTAAGCTCCCCAGAACTGCCCCCTCCTCCTTTCTTCCCTCACCAGTGCAACATCTGAGCTTACTGCAGTCATCTCAGTATATTTCACTCTTCACATCCCAGAGCAGCCATACCACTTTCCTGCCTTCAAGAGGTTTTCTGCATTCACTAAGGATTTCCCCAGAGTCCATGATTCTTTGGATGGGATGACATCAGAATGTGGTTATTTGAGAAACCGTAGGGTGTAACCATGTTGGGATTTTGAGGAGCTGGCAAGTAATTTATTGATGCTGAATCTCAGGAAGTAGATGGTGGCTTGTGTTTGGAGGAGGCTTCTCCAAGCCTGAAGTTTCAGAGGAGCACTAGAGTAGATGCATGAGACCGTAGAACAGGGCTAGGAAGCGGTGTCTACTGAAGTGGGAGAGGATAGAGTAGATTGCCTGGCGGAGCAGAGTTTGCACAGAGGATGAGAAGATGGTACATAAGAGCTATGCGTGTAGTATAGGATTCTAGGACAGTACTTTAACCTCTGACTCAGTTGGCCAATCTATCCCTGCTCATGACTGCAACTCATCCTAAGTACACTGGAACAAACATCAGAGCACTTCAGTGTCAATTCCCCCTATGTCAAGGGGTGAGCTTCTCCTATTGTTGCCTTCCTGAGAGGCAGTAGCTGTGTCGTCATTGTGCCATTCACATAGGGGATTAGATCAATGCAATGACATAGTTCACGTGGCTTGGATTTTTCACACGTCTAAATAACACAGCTCTACTGATATAGAGCTGTACTATATATATGGCCTACATTTAGCAAGTATTTCAGGACCTATATTACTGTACTTCACCTAATGCCACAGACATATGGGCTGCGTCTAGACTGGCGCTCTCTTGCGCAAATACTTTGAATGCAAGAGTTCTTGTGTTAAAGTATTTGCGCAAGAGAGCATCTACACTGGCATGTGCATCCCGTGCCAGTGTAGATGCTCTCTTGTGCAAGAAAGCTCTGGCGGCCATTTTCACCATCAGGGCTTTCTTGCACAAGAAATTCCTGTCCTTGTCTACACTGCCCTCTTGTGCAAGAACACTTGCGCAAGAGGGCTTAGTTCTGGCGCAAGAACACTGACTATCTTGCATTAGATCGTCAGTGTTCTTGCGCAAGAACTCACGGCCAGTTTAGACAACTGGCAAGATTTTGTGCAAAAGTGGCCACTTTTGCGCAAAATCTGGCCAATGCAGATACAGCCATTCTGTATCTTTATGTTAGATATGCTAATAAGCCGCTATGATAATTGCCTGTGTCTGGTTTTATATCATTCTTAGGCTCTTTCCTTCTACCACTCCTCATTCAAAATACTGATATACACAGCAGATAAAAGATCAGATTTTAAAAAGACCTTTAGGTATAGAAGCACTGTCTTTAACATTCCTCATGTCATGTTACATTATGTCATATGGTATGGCATGTGGTGTCCTGTGAGCCTATATAATACAGTGTTACTGACATATTGCAACGGTACACATTAGAAGTGTAATGTAATTCACAGTACTAAATGAGATAACTTTTTAGAGATTCAAGCCACTGCCTGCATAACTCTGCCTATGGTGGTTCACATGAAATGCAAACTGTACTCCAGATTATTTTGTTCAGTCCTTTGCTATAATTATTGTTTTATGAGAAAGTCACAAAGATCCGTACTTTGCAAATGCTTCTCATGGCTCACAGGCCAGGAGATAGAAATACAATCTTCAGACAAAAAACCCAGAGGCAAAACTGTCAAAAGCAGCATCATTATGCTGGATTGCCCAGAAACATATCTGGGTCTCTGTGAGCTGGAGGATTTTATCTTGTACAATACAATGAGTGAGAAAAAAGATGACGGTCAGAAAAGAACAATATCTCTAGCTACTGAGCAGCATTCCCAGCTTGAAGAGAAACTGTTTTATTGCTGGTCTCATGCAATCCTGTGGCTAGGCTTTAGTTTGAAGTGGGGATGTGCAGAACTCCTGGTAGATCAGCATAAATAAGCTAAGTAGCTCAGTGAAATCAGTGGGCTCACACTTATATGGGAGGAGAATCAGGCCCAGGAAATTCACCTACCCACAACTAGTTTTACCCTTGAGTGCATCAGCTAGCAGCCACCAATGAATACAGTTGATTTACTGGATAGCTCCAGGTTTACATTAAAGGCAACACGAGTCTTCAAATGTGCTAGAGAATGGTGTAAGTCGATATATTGCCAATAACTGAGCATTATCTATAACTGATAGATCTTCCAAGTGAAATGGATTGGTACAGTGCAGTTATTAGCAGACAGGTGTCTACAATTAATGGTGAGCATTGAAACTGGCATGTTGTCAGTTTCATTAAAGACACCAAGGCTCAAATAGGCATAGAAAAAGAATTCACCTCGAGGTGAGCACTCAACCGAGGATGGAGGAATGGAGAAGTTTAAACCACAGCAACCCATCTCAAAATGGTTCAGTGCATAAATACACGGTAGCTTCAGTATTCTAGCTTGTCAAACCAGCACTTCCAACCATAGCTTGTCAAACTAACACTTGGCCAGCACACAATTCCTACAGCTGCTGTTTTTGTACCTCACAGGGTCACAATGAATACCTGAAAACATGCTTTTCACTGGGTTATAATGACATTGCACCAATTACCCAGATTATGTCTCACACCACATGTTAAAATGCTGAGTGTATGTTCTGTATGGATTACTGACCTATGCGATCAGCAATTTTCCTCAATAGAAATACTTAAAAAGAAAGCAAGCAAAAATCTCTAATCACAGTCTTCCTTCTGTCAGTGTAAATCTGAAATAACTCCACTATGCTTAGTGGAGTAAGGGAACAGGGAGAGAGAAGAACTAGGCCCACAGTTATAAATAATTATTTTACATCTACTATGAGCCCGTTTATTTACTTGCTGTATTACCTGTCATCAAGAATCTTTGCTTCAGCTATTTTTTTAAAAAAAGAGGCAGCAGTTCTAGTGTCTTTGCTAGTCATATTACAGCACCAACATCTTAAAGCTAGTGTGAAGTGTTGCCTAGCAACAGCACTAAGCCTGCTGGGATGATCTTACTCCTAATTCTGTCTATTATATTTTGGAGCCTGCAAATTTGCAGTTAATAATAAAGGACACCTTCCTAAGTATATTTCTTACTGTATGTTTTAATTACTGCTCTGCTGGTATCAAAATCACTCTTTTTCCAAAATGTATAACTATTTTGTCAGAGCTCTCCGGAGCAATGAGCCCATGAAAATAATCAGCTGTCTCAAAATAACCACTCTCAGTGATTTTTTTGCTCTTTCTAAATCCAGATAAGAGTCACTGCTAACAATGAAGCCATTTCTGAGTGTTGCTTCCAAAAATCACAGACAAGGGAACAATTAAATATAATCGCTTCTTCTGCTTTCTAGAAAGGCAGCCACACTATACTGTGACAGAACTGTGTCCTACAAATACTATTTCAGTAAATGTGGTTTATTGTTATTATTAATTTATTTTTAAATCCTAACTCTGAGACTGCAAAAAACTAAAATGATCAGGCAGAGAATAATAAAGCCAGTTGATGAAGGAAAGGCTACTCACCTGAGTAAGGATTTCAGGGTCTGGCTTTCGCTCCTGCTGCCACTGAAGCCAATTGCAATTGCATTGTCAGTAATATGGCATTGTATCAGCAGTGTTACAAAGGGCATGCAAAACAGTGAATGCATATTCAGATACAGAAAAATCAAAGAAAAGGGTTTAGCTCAAATCTGAACCACAGGTGGGTGCAGAAATAGTCTTCATTCTTTAAGAATGTGTAGCACTATTTTTGGCCTGGAAAGCTCAAGTTCTTTTGGATTCTAGTCTGACTCCTACACCAGTGCCTTCATGGGGAAATTGCTGCTCAGCTGCAGGTGTCATTGGGGTGAAAAACTGACTTCACTTCTGCTAGTAGCTAACAATCCTGTGAAATTTGGAGGGAAATAGAAGACAGGGCTAGTCATAAAATTTCTATTATTGAAAGGTCAATGAAAAATATTAACATTTGGACTTTCACCAAAAAGCGCAAACAAAATGTTGACCACATTTTTGCATCTTTTTAGTGCATGTTTTAGCCAGCTCTGCTGGTAAAAACCCAGTAATCATGGCCAATATACCCCTGGAAAAGCTGCAATACATGTTATTGCACAATCTTACATATTAAACAGAATTTAGTTCAAACCAGTTCTTGTGTCTGTGGAATAATATTGACAAAAACAATACAAGGAGACCTTTGGGAGGATTATGTATTAGAATCAACACTGAGTACTTTGATGTGGGTTGAACTCCTGTCCACCACTGCAAGCTTGTCTAGGCAGGGAAGTTAATCTGAATTCAGACAGGACATGAATTTAAAGCAGAATAGCTATTCCTGAATAACTCTTTGTGCAGATCAAGCTAGTTCAGAAAAAAGCACTCTAATTCTGGAATAAGAAAATCCACACAAAGCCAGAGAGAGTTAACCAGGAATAGCTATTCTGGGATAACCTGGTATGCCAACAAAGAGGAATGGAGGACAGAGAAGGGAGTAACTGCCCCAAAGCCTGGCAATTCAAAAGGCACTGTTACTGTGGTAGTGGTGGGGCTTGGAGCTCTGGGCCCTTTAACTCCTCACCGGAGCAATGCGCACCAGGCTGCACTGAGACCTAGCTGCCCCTGGCCTTGCCCCTTCTGGGAATAATCCTGTGTAGATAAACCCTTGGTGAGCTGTTACAGCACAACCTGAAAAATGTCCTATGTGAAGGATACCAATGTCTTTTTAAGAGCTTTTTATAGTGCATTCAGTATATTACTCCTCAGTCATTGTGGTGGGTGAGTCTCTAGACAAGCAGTTAAACCAGCAGTCTCTGCAGAAGACCAGACCTTTTGCTGAAGACAAAACAGGAGTGTGTGCCTTTCAGCCTGGAAAGAAAGCGCTTACTCCTTATTCTCAAAGCTGGTGCGTATTTTGCGATCACTTGAAAGTTTTACAGCCCCATTCATTGTCAGCAGTACTATCAGTGGCTTCTATCACGTTATTCTCTGACGTCCCCAAAGAAAATGTGTTGGAATTTGGCTGGAAGTTGGATTTGATTCACTGATGTCATAGCTAGCAGCGGCAGCTCCTGCTCCGGGACCTGGGCATAAGGCTGGGGGGAAAGGGAATTGGGTTAGAGCAGGGGGAAGATGCCTGCCTCTGGAGAAGAGGAGGGTGGGGTATGCGTGTGGCGGTAGCGGCAGCAGCGGCTCTGGCTCCCGGAGGGGGGATTGGGTTAGAGCAAGGAGGGGAGGTGTCTGGCTCTGGGAATGGGATTGGGTTGGGGAGGTGCACATGGCAGCCTGGCCAGCGCATGCTCAAAACCAGCAGTTCCGCACACGCGCCCCAGCGCCTGGAGGTAGGCGCGTGTAGTTGTAGCGGCAGCGGCTCCGCCTGTGGGACCCGAGACCGATAATTAGGTTAGAGGGGGAGATTGAGTTAGAGGGGGAGATGCCTGGCTCTGGGGAAGGGGAGGGGAGGAGTGTGTGTGTCTGGCTCTGGGGAGCGGGAGGGTGCCGAGGGGAGGGATTGCATTAGAGTGGGGAGGGGTGTCTGGCTCTGGGGAGGGGGATTGGGTTGGGAGGTTAGTTACTCAGCACCCCAACCTTTCACCTGACCCCCAACACTCTTCAGCCTGGAGCCACCCATTGAGCCAGCATCCTCTTCTCTACTTCCTCCTGCATCCACATTCCCTCCCAGAGCTTGCACCTCTCACCCCTTCCCAGTGCTTTTTTTGTGATAATATGCTCCAGGACAGTGTACCAGCAACTATTTTCCCCCTCAGGTACATGCTTCTCCGCACTCTATACATCACTATTTTGGCTCTTCGTGTCTAATGGGTCGGCCACCCCTGCCCTAATTTATTGATAAGAATTCATGTGAGACTGTATCAAATGTTTTACTAAAGTCTAAGGCTACATCTACATTGGCAAGATTTTGCACAAAAGCAATTGCTTTTGTGCAAAAACTTGCCGCTTGTCTACACTGGCCGCGAGTTCTTGCGCAAGAACTCGCGGCCAGTGTAGACAAGCAGCAAGTTTTTGCACAAAAGCATCCGTGCCAGTGTAGACGCTCTCTTGTGCAAGAAAGCTCTGATGGCCATTTTAGCGATCGGGCTTTCTTGCGCAAGAAAGCCCGATCGCTAAAATGGCCATCAGAGCTTTCTTGCACAAGAGAGCGTCTACACTGGCACGGATGCTTTTGTGCAAAAGCACATCTCTTGCACAAAAGCACATGCCAAGTGTAGATCCTCTCTTGTGCAAATACTTTAACACAAAAACTCTTGCATTAAAAGTAGTTGCGCAAAATCTTGCCAATGTAGACGTAGCCTAAGTGTACCTTGCAGGATTAGATTCTAAAACAGTAATATAACTTCCATTCAGAATCAAAGTCTGTTTGAAGTTAAATTCAGTGAAAGAAAATAGCGAGGATCTTCTATTCTATTGGTGTGAGAGAAGCTTTTGCGTTTCCCCAGAACTGTAGAAGAGCTATGTGTAAACATGAAAGCTTGTCACTCTCACCTACAGAAGCTATTCCAATAAAAAATATTACCTCATCCACCTTGTCTGTCTAATATCCTGGGACCGACCTGGCTACAACACAGCATACATTAAACTCAGCAGTCATCTGTGATTTAACCCTTCATGAGCCTGATCCAAAGCCCACTGAAGTGTTAACAACATGAAGTCTGAAGATGTAATTGGCAGAGATCCAACCTGTAGTGTGCTCTGGTTCCACTTAGAGCAGGGGTGAATAGTAGTTTTTGATGGGTGGGGCCACTCCAAGATTTTGATAAATTGTCAAAGGTTTCTACGGAGGGGGTGCAGGGGCTGGGAGAAAGGTTGGGTGCAGAAGGGAGCTCAGGGTAGGGGGGCTGAGGAGAAGGAGAGGGTGTGAGGTCTGAAAGGGAGTTTGGGTGAAGTAGGGAGTTGTAATCTGGAGCAGGGGCCATAAGGGAGTGGGGTGTGGGAAGGGTGAGGTGTCAGAGGCAGGCTCTGAGCAGGAGGAACTTACCTATGCAGCTCCTAGCCAGCAGCCCTCAGGCAGGATTCCCTGCCTGCCAGCAATGCCAGATCACTCAGATGACTATGTCATGTGGCTCTCTGTACTGTGGAGGGAGGCGTCACATGTTGTCCCTGCCCCTCAGCAAAATTTCTCAGCTCCTATTGGCTGGGAACTGGCCAATGGGAGCTGAGAAATTGTGTTGACTGTCTCCACTCCCAGGAAAGCCTTCCCACTCCTCCTCAGCACACAGAGCCACAGGGTACAACTATCCACTCAATGCTGCAGGGATGGGCTGCAGGCCAGATTAAAAGGCTTGATGGACCGTATCCAACTTGTGGACCATATCTTGCCTGCCCCTGACTTAGGGCATGATGGAATGTAAGGCAGCTGCATCCTCACTAGAGCATATTAAGCCTTTGATTTAGTTGGAGTTGGTCCTGCTTTGGGCAGGGGGTTGGACTTGATGACCTCCGGCAGTCTCTATGATCCTATAAATCTATGATCCATTGCTGAGTAAGAGGAAATAAGTTTCTCACAGGCAGCCTGACAGGTTTTCTGAACTACAGTCTCTACAAAGAAAACAATGAATCAGGAAACATATAAATCCTTCAGCAAAACAAGGAAGAAGGGTGCCAGACATCACCTTGAAATCAATGAATCAACCTCCTTACATATTGTATGATAGAATCTGATTTCATCCAGCATAAGATTTTGCCTCTGCTTCAATTTCCTTAGTCTGGTTGACTCTTGTGCTTCATCTGATGACTTTTTTTCAAGAGTAAGGCCCTGAAGTTGCATTGGCTCAGTCTCCTGAGCACAACTAGACAACCTGACAGAACAGCTTGTCTTAGTGGCTGAACCAGCTAACAGACTGGCTGGTCAAAGTATTTGCCCCGGCTGCAATTTTTCATGTGCCTGCTTGTGCCCAGGTCCACCCCATTCCAGCCAACCATAGAAATATAGAACCATGCCCCTGGCCAAGATGCAGGGTTTGTCTGCCTAAGACAAATGGTTCTCCAGCCTCCTTTGGAAAACCTCCAGTGAATGTGCTTCCACTGCCTCCCTAGGTCGCTTGTTTCATTGTCCTACTGTTCTTACAGTTAGGAGGTTTTTCCTCAGTCTTCATCTAACTTTGCTCTGCTGTAGTTTGTATTCAGTGCCTTTGTCTTGATCCTCAGCTCTGATTCCTGAGTTCAGCCCTGATCTTTGCCAGCCAAAAGGCCACTTTTGACACTGACTACCTTTTGGTCTTTCAGACTCCTTCTCTTGCATATGCTGATTCTTGTGCCTTTTATCAGCTTACCTCTCCAGATACACTATCCCCTTTCTAATGGTTAATGAAGAAGTCCAACAAAACAAATCTGATGTTCGGGTACCTCTCACTAGGACAGGGGTGGGGAACCTCTTTTGGGTCATGGGCCACTGACCCACAAAAAAATCAGTTGGGATTTCTTTGAAATCAGTTGGGATTCAATGAGAAGGGAGATCTTGGTATCTGTGGAAAGAATTTAACAATAGGGGAAGCAGCAGAATCTCTCACTACATTAATTCCCTTGCATAGTCCTTGTAGGGCATTGGGCCAGTGGGCCAGTGGGCATTACACTTCCTCTATTACCTTCTCTTCTTTCTGCCCTCTGGTCAGCCCCCCCCCAAGTGGACTTTCCAGAGGTTCAGAGCAGAGACAGATGGTGCTTGCAGAGGGTGGCTGATTTTCACCTCTGCCCTTCACAAGCAAAGGGTGACATCTGCAACTGGAAGGTCCCCTCAGTAGCTATATCCCACCAGGTAATGAGGCCTTACATCCTGCAAAGACAGGTTCTTCAGTCTGAGAATTGCTTTCCTATGCTGGGTGAATATAAACCTGAGAAATGGCAAATAGCCACTACATGCTGAGACAAAGATCAGAAACTTCTTCAGAGTTATAGGCTACGTCTACACTGGCATGATTTTCTACAAATGCTTTTAATGGAAAAGTTTTCCGTTAAAAGCATTTGCGGAAAAGAACGTCTAGATTGGCACGGACGCTTTTCCGCAAAAGCACTTTTTGTGGAAAAGCGACCGTGCCAATCTAGACACGCTTTTCCACAAAAAAGCCCCGATCGCCATTTTCGCGATGAGGGCTTTTTTGCGCAAAACAATTCTGAGCTGTCTACACTGGCCCTTTTGCGCAAAAGGGATTTTTGCCCGAACGGGAGAAGCATAGTATGTTCCCATGAAGCACTGATTTCAGACAGTAGGAAGTCAGTGTTCTTGCAGAAATTCAAGCGGCCAGTGCAGACAGCTGACAAGTTTTCTGCAAAAGCAGCTGCTTTTGCGGAAAAACTTACCAGTCTAGACACAGCCATAGTGGTTCACATGGCAAGCTCAGAGCCAGGAAAAACAGAGACAAGAGCAGCATTTGAGCCAAAGTTGCCTTTTTGTGACACCTGAGCAATTAATTCGTTTGCGGCTAAACTGAAACAAAAAATATGAAAAAAGTTGCTTCAAGGCAAAACAGAAGCAAAAAAAAAAAAAAAAAAAGGCATTTCAGGCCAAATGAAACATTTTGTTTGACCTGAAAGAAAATTGTGTCCACCTGACCAATTTAATTATGTTTTCAGACATTTTACTCTTTTGCTGTTTTGTAAAAAAATCTAGCAAAATCCCAAAATGAAATATCTTTTTGAAACAAAGTCATAACATTTCCTCTAGAAAATGTTGAACTAAAACTGTTCCTTAACCACCTCCTCCACCCCACACATCTGGTGTGTTTGTTTTTTGGCCAAAGCTGTTTGCTGAATTCAACATGAATAGTTTTGGTCAACTGTAAATTGCATTTTTCAGCTATTTGTCTGAATAATTTCTCCCACCTCTACTTTTTAGATCAACCTGCTTTTGCCCTTCCTTCCATCCCCAGTCACTCTTTGTGTGTCTCAGCCTCTGGTGCCAACAGTAAGAAAAACTATTCGGTGAGGTATTGCCAGTTACCCATTCCTATTCCTAGCCCTCGCCTCATTCTCTGATCATTGTACACACCCTGATTTAAGCATGGAGGTAAGATGTCTTTCCAGCTTTGGAGGTGCAGGTAACAATATGAAGGACTTCATCCAAGTAGATTGTACAGGAAACTTCATTCAGAAACTTCCTCAATGGGAGATTTATTTAATCGTTTTCATTCAGGTTAATTGTAGGCAGCAGAATAGCAGCAACATTGGTTGATTCAGAAGTTCTCCTAGTTACAGTTTGTGCTGTCTTACTATTCAGTCATGGTCTTGACTTTAAATGGTCTTTGAAAGGCCAACTACCCCAGCTGTGGCTGATCTAAATAGCAGCAATCAAGTGACACGTTGGGAGCAAAGCTGGGAGCATTGGTTTGGGTTTTTGTCTGTTTGCCAATGAGCTGCTAGAGAAACATAACAGTCGTTAGTATTGTACACTTATAATCCTGAAAGATGGGCTGTTTCAAGCAGCCACAGGTGTGCAGGAGGAGTATCTGACAGATGTGAGCTAGACCTATAGATTTGGTAATGTGTGCACACATGAATGATGTATTGAACATGGAGGGCTAGATTGAGCCCTGTTAAAGTTACCTTGCACAAAGCAGCCAAGAACCTAGCAGCAGCAGCAGGATGGATTTAGTATAGTGATTGCTACGCTGCCCCTTCCTGACTGCCCCAACCTAGCAAATACAACAGGGGAAAAGGTGTTACGACTGTAAATTCCTCCAGCGATCTCCAGCTGTCAGACAGCCCCCTCCGAGAGCAGAATTTAGAGCAGCCCTGAAGTCGAGAACAATGTGATTTAAGACACATATCCCACCCTGGACTGAACTGGGAGCCAAATAACTAGTCCCGAGGGTGTGAGACAGAGGTCATTTGCAGTGTTGATATAAGCACTGGAAATTGGAATGAGACCAACTAATTTTACATAGGAATAAAAGTGGCATCTGATGTGAATAATTTTCAGTTACTACACCCTGAGATTTAATTCTAAATAATAGAAGTATAAGAGCTGACAGTCTATTTGCAATCTCCTCAATCATCCAGGCCACTGTAACCTGTAAGTTCAGTTGTGGACAAGTCAGGACAAGCAATAATTCCTTAGACTATTTCGCTTTCAATCATCAAGTGGACTTTGTAGTCTCCTAGAAAGCCTGTATGCTCCCTACCTGAAGTAGGTGTCCATTTGTGCACTTAACTCTTACCACAAGTGAACTTAGTTATCTGTTCTGCTCCCCATGAATGTGTCACAAAAAAAAAATCTCTTTTCCAAATCAATCCCAAAGCAAGCAGGTGGACAGTTACCACTTTGAAAATATTTCCAGCAATGAACAAAACACAGGAAAAAAAGGAAACTTCCAACACAAAATAGATGATCGTTCCAAAATGACAGCTGCACACTGTTTCGCAAAAGAATCCTTAGAGCTTATGTAGTATTACATAAATTTACCACTGGTTAAAAGTTTAAGTTTTTTAAAATATATAAAAGTCTAATGAAAAGACTGACATTTGACATTTTCCCTTTCATGCTCCCACTTTTCCTTTTTATCTCCATAGAAGGTAGCATTGATTATAATTATAGTGGAGACTGAAATAGTTTTTATGTATATACTAGCCAATAGCCCGTCATAA